ATCCACTGCTGTCTCTTATACACATCTAGATGTGTATAAATATATACATATACATATTGTATCAGACATATCATAATATCATATCCCTATCATAATTAAATGTTACATCATGTCATACCATATCATATCATACCATATCATACGGTATATCATTATATTCTAGAATATCCCTATCATAATTAAATGTTACATCATTATCATATATGACATAATATCATATCATACCATACCATATCATATATTATTATATTCTACCATAATAATCATTATCTTATATCACATCATATAAAAGCATGATAATATCGTATATATTGATTTTATCGTATCATATAATTTTATATATCATTATATCATAATAACATATATCATTATACCATTGACAACACTCATAATTCATATCATAATATATTAAATTACACCAGTGTATATATGCAATTCACGCATTCTGTATTACAATAACCTTTTCTCTATTCCAATGCCATGGACGCTTACCTGATTTCTCGTTCCGGATTTATCAAACTAGAAATCAGCTTTAGTCAGGTTCCGGAGGAAAAAATTGATATGTTGTAGAACTGAATTTTCTAAGAAGTTACTTGACGAAAAACTGGGGAATGGTTAATGAGAAACAGATTTTTGAATATATTAAAGATTGGGGTAAAAGGTGGGAAAAAGGGTGATTACGATCCTTTTCTCCCAGTTTTTAAATATACAATTCTGTATAAAAAAAAATGAAAAATCAGTTCTACAACATATCAAAAAGTGTTTTTTATCCTCCGGAGCCTGAATTTAAATTCGTCTTTATCATTATTGCTTAGCTTAAAAACTGCTTAAAATTTAAAAGTCGATTGTACGCATGCGCCATCTGAGACGATTTTTAAGCTAAGATTTTGATAAAATAATTTAATATATCAGCTTAAGATATTTGCTTAGGGACATCTTAACTTCTTTGACTTAAAAAAATTGCTAAGCTGTTATATTGTACCAACCATGGAGGTATAATACCTCCATGGTACCAACCCACCACCCGAGCCAACAACAACGGAATCATGAATAATGTTTTTATTGTTTGGTGACTGGGCTTAAAACCACAGAGGCCATACAATCCTTGTTCTATTTTATTATGATTATATATACAAATAACATAAACTTGTCATTTTCAGATATGGTGAGGATGAAGGCAATTGCCAATTCTCGAACTTCAAGTGTAAAGGCAACGAAAGCTACATCAGGGAATGCGATTATACGCGGTCATCAACGCGTGAAAGTTGTGTCAAGCTTGTCGCCATCAAGTGCGGTAAGGAAGATAGTATAATAATAACATCCCAATTCTCCTGTTGCTTATCGTCGTTGTCATCATCATCAAATTCAAATTCAAATAAAACTTTATTGCAATCGAACATAGTGATTGGATAATTTACAGTACAAGAAAAGATATAAACATTCAAAATACAAGACAAACACCATTTTCCAATGTGACATGATTCAAATAGGACTAAAATAAAGTCTATATATTCAACATCAAAATATAAAATTAAAATTGCATTTAAGGTGGCCAATAACAGAACATCAAAAATGTCCATCAAGAGAAAAAAAAAGAAAAAAGATCAACAACCAAAATAATTGCAAAATTCCCATTAATAAAAATTACATCCAAAATTGTTATTTAATAGTTTTAATTAAAAAAAAACCATCAATTAAGAAAAGGAAAAAAAATCATCACTATAATTAGCCACTGAGACCATCATCATCGTTTTCATCACCGCCGTCATCGTCATTTGTGAACTAAAGGTCTCCCGCTAATGAAAGTCCCTCCCAACTAAAGACCACTTCAACTTGTCTGTGGTCCCATATTAACAAATGTCTTATAGCTTTATTAGCTAATTAAAAAGGTGGTCTTTAATTGGAGGGAGGCCTATAATTGAATTGAATCATCGTCGACGTCGTCGTCAACATAATAATAATAATAATATAATAATAATAATAGTAATAGGCCTAATAATAATAATAGTAGTAGTAGTAGTAATAGGCCAAATAATAATAATAATAATAATAATAATAATAATAATAATAATAATAATAATAATAATAATAATAATAATAATAGTAATAATAATAATAATAATAATAATAATAATAAT